ATAATAAAAATCAACATATAATTATTAATAAAAAGTACTAACGCCTGATAATGTTTCGCTATTTATACACGTTACGCATAGTTTAAAAAAAATCAACATTACTTCTTTGAGAGATTTTCTATAATCTTTCACATACACCATACTTGCTTTTGATCAGTCTCTCTATACTTCCATCTATATTAGGTGTTAGGTGTTTTTTATGACATTGTCCTCGCTCCTCGGTATGACATCTTCGTACCTAGGTAATCTCTGACATCGCAACTTATCTATAACCGGCACAACTACTTAAAATATAAACAAAATAAATATTTCAAAAGAAACTAGTAAAAATATTTACATTTGTCTCGACTCTCCGATTGTTGATAATATAACGGGAATATCTTAAGATAATGATCGTATTCTACTTTATATAAATATTCTTGAAGATAAATGTAATATTATGATCACAATGTTATATGAAATTGAACCGTTACGAACATTTATTATGACTATTAACATTATTGATCATACATGTTCTCTTCATTTACTTCATTAAACTTTACGTATAATCTGTCGTTTTAAAATGTTATTAATATTTAGGAGCATCATGGTTTAATAAAGTACCTACTACTCTAACTTAAACCCAAATCGTCGTAAATTCAAAGATGGCAGTTACAAAAAATCTTTATGTATCAATTTATATCCTTAGATAACTCTTGACGGTGGAAGAAATATTATAACAAAAGCAAAATTTATCTGAATAACAATATACATTCACGACTGTTATACAAGATGGTGTAGTCAGAGGTATTGTCAACTGTATAATATAAATGACCACATTTCGATTAGTATGTTCAAAAGAATGCTGACATCACGAAAATGACCGGAAGTGGATGGATGCGGAAAGCGAAAGATCACACATTGTGGAAGGCATTGGGAAAGGCCTGTATCCAACAATAGATAGATACAGACTTAAATGATGATGATAATGATTCAAAAGTTTTTCCAAGGTAAGAGAGTCAAGCGTCTCAAATTAATTTTATTTGTTGTAGGTGTTTCTGTCATCAGAGAGTCTGTTAAATATACAAATCGACACACAAAGTTTTACTAGATTTGATCTGAGTATGAATACTAGACTATATTATTAGGTCACAACGGTTATAAAGGCGGAATAACAAAGAAAATCGATAATCATCTCACAAAACGATATATCAGAATCGAGACCTGTAATCGATACCGAGAGATCAAAGTATACCGTTCCCACGAAATGAAGTCAATAGCGTGATTTGCGAAATAATAGTTGATATGAAGAAAGGATAGGGTATGGCACGCGATCTGAATGTTGAATAGCTTTATATAAACAAATAAGATCCACACATATACAACACGCAATGACATAATAAAACGAATACCTTCAAACAAAGCACATTTTTGGCAAATAAAGGGGTATTTACATCAAGAAAAATAAAAAATATATCATAGGTATAAGAGCTGAACCGGCCATGCATTGGTCTGGTTTAGTAATCGTTTATAGAGTAAATTTTTATACTGTAACTAATATTGAAGTAAATAAAAACTATCCTATCATTTAAACCGGGCTAAATTACACACAATAACTTTACAATTGGAGTTTATTCCGGACAAACATGGTGAACCCAAATTTTTATACAGTTAAATATTATATTAAAACATATATATTTTTGTTCATTAACAGATAGAAGTAGCTTTTAGATTCAATATAATATAATTCTATTCTAATATAATTCTAAATAATCGAGAGATATACGTATATTTTATTTTTATTTTACTGAATTAAACTTATGAATTTTCTGATTTTTACCGAATTTTACAACCCCTATCTGGAGGATAAATCACCCAAGGTAGAAGTAATAATAATAATACGGAATCTATAATTTTCTAAAATAATAGGGTCCGAAATTTTAATAAATTCCGAATAATAGATTAGATAATAGATTCCGAATTAGAAATTTTCGGGTAAAAAGTATTGTAATTTATTAATCAAGCTCATAATCTATTTGTGGACCAATTTTCATTCGAATCTACATATCTAGTAGTTGATGCGTGAAAGAGCAACAAACATTCATCGTCAATAATATTAAATAAAATTTGTATGTACAAAAACAAGTACGATCCATCACAAATAATACAATGCAAGTGAGAACAAATCTTTCATCGCAACCTCATTAAAAACATTGTGAAAATTTGCAACGTGGAAACATGTACAATTAAAACATTTCTAATTATAAATTGTTACGGGTTGACAAACAACAAACTAACATGTCGCAGCGTACAAGGTTTTTCTCAATTTGCTAATGAACTAGGAGAAACTTGTGGAATTTTGTATGACATATTTTGTGTCATACTCCATAATATCAGAAAATTTTAGCAAAAATCCAATTGAACTATAATTAGTTGTCCTCTAAACTAAATATATTTGAATGGGATATTCCCTTTGGCCTCGTAAATGAAGTAGGAAAAGGACCATAATACAGGCGGTTTTTCTAGTATATTAATAAAGTTCTAATACTTTGTATATCTTTTCTAAATGTTTGATAGATTTCTCTGATAGTCTGTAAACGCAAAGGAAATGAATCAATATTATAATCCATTTGCTGCAGTTATTAGACCTCTTCGACAGTTATTAATCTTCTTATGGAAGACGTAAGTTTTACTTTGCATTTATCCAGTATTCTATAATAAAATAAGCAAAACGATAGACGTGAATAAGATTGTTTGTCAAAGCCACTCGGTTTTTAGTTACAAAAATAAATTTTATATTATTATTATTTGAGAGAGCGGATTTTGTTATGTGTAGAAAAATCACGAAAATTTCTTCGAGAAATTATTTCCCTCTTTGAAAGGTATTATTTTAGAGTGACATCGATAAATATTATGTTAATATATATGTACAAAACCATAGACTTATTAGCATCCGAGTCGACACGGGGCGAGCCACTGTTAATATAATAAAATTTGCTACTCACAAGCGTAAATAAGGTTGCTTATTTTACAGTACACGGATCATAATTGAAAATCTATATAAACTGTTTATCCATATATTCTACGAACCTGTTTGACAACAGTATTATAAAAGGTTCGAACTTAGGCTTCAAACTTCTCACGGCAGTGCTACCTGTCATAATTTATGTCACATTACGACATATTATGGTGATGAGTCAGTTACTTCATCTAACAAATGGTTAGTTAGCGATAACCTGAGCCATACTTATATTATACACGTTTGTTTGCTCAGTTTTTAGCTATTATTTTTATAAAATATACAATAATATACTATGGAAGGGATAATGGAGGGGATTCGGAAATGTTATAGGTAATTGGACAGAAAAAGAAGCATTCTATGTATATATAAAAAATTGAATAACTATTCACACGTGAATGGCTGGATCTATTACGCTAATTTTTGTTTGATATTTGTTATTGTAAAACAAAAATTTTAAAAAGTTACTGGAAAAAAATATTATTAATTTACCATTGCGAATTCATTATTCATAGTTAAAACAGGACAACGTCTGTCGGTGAAAATTTGGTTTAAAACAGTGTTTCCCAACGTGGTGGCTACGCCCCAAAGGGGGGCAATTTGATTGTTAAGGGATTGGAAGGAATTACAAGATGGACCTTTATTAAAATTATATGCAACGTGAATTTCAATTTTTCATTATACGTTTTGGAAATTTACTTACTGTTTAATTAATAATTTCCTGATGTAATTTTCCTAAAACATATTATTTAAGTTTATTAAGTGAACAATTCAATTTTTTAATGTTATAAATTATGCATATTACATAGAGGGAGGGGGCCTACAGAAAGTTGCTTTATTGCTATGTCTAGTGCCAACTAACTTTTCATAATTTTTAAACAATTTTGATGTCTAGATTCGTGATATGCACTAACCGTGTGTGGTAATAAACTGCACAAATTAATGACCAAAAGCAGTTACTCGATATAAACATGCCAAATAAGTCGCATCGTTTTGAAACCACCTGATATTTACAAGAAACGGTTTTAAGCCACCGAAAACCAGCTGTGGCATTCCTTTGCGTCCATTAACAAAAAGTTGTGGTGTTGAAACTATAAAATTTTTACTTACTCTGACAACATTTCAGAGATACTGACAGGTTTTAATAAAAGGGGATTTTTTAAATGTAACATTCTTGGAAACATAAAAAGTGTCCTCTGCCCTCCTGTACGTCTGAGTTAGACTTGATTCTAATATTTCTAATCCTAAAAGAAGCAAAGTTGGATGTTTGGGGTAATCTCCTGTAATACATATCCGATTTTGAAAATTCTTCTAGTCTTGGATAGTCCATTTTTTGAGGAATGCTGTAAGGTTTATAACATCACGCTGGGACTAATAGGAGCGGAGCTGTAATGAAAAATGTTACATAAACGGAGACAAAGTAGCTTATACTATATATCATATATTAATTCAGTGATTGAACGTGTTATGAGATTAGGATATCGTATTCGTAACGTATTATTGTTTATAAATTTCATATCTGTATACTAATCACTAATATGCAGAAATTATAATAGTTATGTAGAAAAATTTGGTACTAAAATTAGTTTCTATCAAGTCACAAAAAGAAATTGTAGTTGGACATTGTAATAAATAGGTTAGGTACCTACATTTTTATTAATGAGTAGCTAATACTGTCAAAATATGAATTTTAAAGTTTATAAAAATATTCGCCTGTAATATTAAGACGTAAAGTAAATCTGTCTATACTATTCTATAAAAACTACGTGAACAGATGAAAAATTTAGTACAAACATAAGTATATCATTTGTTTATAGTCATAGCACTACAAACTTACGTACTATAAACTTAAAAATAATATCTTTCAAACTTAAAATATAAATTAAATATGGAACGTATTTCGTCCAGTGGTCGACCAATAGTTCTAAATAACACGTCTTGTTAGAAAGTATCTTATATTATGTTTTTTTTTATATTTTGATAGTACATAACATCAACTCACCTATATCAGAAGCCCCTTTTTCCTTACAGATTTCACGTAGCAAATAGTTTCCCACATTTTTAACTCAGCAATCCATAACCAGTGAAGTATATTGAAAGCACATTTGCACTTCAATTTGAAACACTCATATCACTTAACACTAACTTAACCGAAACTTAACACTATGATTTAGTATTAACAACACTTATCCACATTAACAAAACATAGTAATAGTCACGTAAAACCCTATTGTATGGGGTATTTTATAGATGATTCTAAAGATCTTATGTTTTTAAGCACAAGGGCCCGCTATAGAGCGTTTGATGACCCTAAAAGAGGCTTCTCGACTGAGTGTTGAATGCAAAACGCACGGTTTCTCTTGCGCCAGCGCCGGTCGGTATGCGCCTGAGGCTGTGTGCGTGGGTATACAGATATTCTGATGTGCACACATCTATGATCAGGCTGCACGGTTTTTGTCGATGTCCACGGGGCAAGTAACCTTAGTACCAATGGATTGTAGCTTACGGTTTGTTTATATTTTAATTGAAATAAAAAAAACTCGTAGGTGTCATTTTAATTTAACATACCTAACTAATTACATTGTTATTCTTATATGAGTCTAATGCAATATTAAGTGTTGTTAATCTATCTCTTCAAATCATCCGTTTTGATAACAGAGTAACTAAGTACGATTAGTACGAGTAGGTGCAATGAATAAATTGTCCCTTTTATATGACTGACCATTCTATTCATTCCACTAATTCCTTTGTGGGTAAGATGGTGGTAGCTACATCTTAAGCTAAAACCATATAATTGACAAGTTTAAGACGTAAGATTAGAAGAACAATAGAATTAAGTTTCTAGTATTGTACTCAGAATTAGTTCCAATTTATTTTAAATTTTCCCTTTTATAATTCTTTACAATTGACTGTATTTAAAGTTACAACGCTTTTTCGATCAGGTGAAGTTTTTCTGAAAGCTGCTGGTCGATGTCCCGCTAGTGAGACTCAAGCTCCAGTCTCTTGTTTCCTTCTAACCATAACACAGTCATACATCTAAAAGAGACAGATATATCTCACTATCTTCTCTACAAATTTGCAGAACTTGAAGTGGCTTTACTCAGGTATTATAAACGACCAGAATACGGTCGTATACACAATATGCGACTGATTTAAAAAGTTCTACAAAACTATTGGTTTCTTTGGTACATGACTTATACTTAACTTGTAGAATTCTGTCAAGTTAGCGATGTCAATGTATCGTTTGTATTAAAGTAATAGCGGGCTGATTGGTTGTAGTATAACGCTGTTGATTAATTTTTATCGCCTCACTTTTTGCTATTCCTAGGTTACAGTTCTTGTGATAAGTATTCTCATAAAATTTACCTTATTTGAATTAGATAATGTCGTAAGATGTTTGTAGGATATAAAATGTAATAAATACAACAAACTTGTAGGATATATTTTGTTACACAAAAGAAAAAAAGAAAACGTCTAACACAATAAACCATCTTAATAACAAAAAGAATCATTGAAGTTTGTTTAAGTTTGCACATATTTTCGGCACATGTCGCTTAACAGACTTAACAAATTTATGATACAGAACGTGTAACGATAATGCTTAATGTTCTTAGAGAAATTAATAGTTTAATTGTCAATGTCAAAATAAAATCAATTAAGTAGTTTAAAATATGAAAACGGTTCCTATCAACAGCATCATCATCAAATCAATTTAGTAGAAGATGAAGAAAATAATTTATATTATCTCTCATATTCATTAAAGTAATTCACAAAATATAGCTGACGATAATTCTTTATTAATTAACTACATAAAGCGATGCATTTGATGTTGTAGAGTTACGCAGTAATCATGGGACCGAACGCGTTGTCCCACATAAAGATTGTAATTTGTTAAAACGATGATTTAAATAAAAACACTTTCGTAACACACCTGTAATCACTGTTAAAATAGGCGTTATTAAAATCAAAATAAGACGTTATGCGCAAAATTATCACAATGTGCAGTTTCAGATAAAAGAAAAACAAAAATAATGCTCACGATGACGCCAGATGTAATAGATTGGATGGGTGTGTTGATATCATATGAAAAACATAGAATAGAATAGACGAGAAAATTAACTATGCTTTATCTATTTATATGCATTTTAATTTATCTAACACTTGTAGACATAGATATTATGTATTCTATATACAATTTTTGCCCCAGCCAGCAATAACGATTTACGCTAGCGGGGCACCAGTTTAGGATAATAAAATAAGCATGAAGTCAGGTCAGTTGGCTTATCTTGACAATTTCTTCAAGAATTTGTCATGATGGTTTCTAAGGGGAACCGCGTAGAGATCAACCTGACATGGCACATTGCTATATAGCAATGGGGTCAACAGTCCATATTACAAGTACCTATCATGTAAGGTTGGCACGCGATTCCCCCTGAAGACCATCGTTAGAAATTCCTGGTGAATTTGTCAAGACGGGGCAACTAAGCTGACCTCATGTTCTTCTTATCATTTTCCACTGGTACCCCGCCAGCGTATACCGTTAGCGCAGGCGGGTGCACCATTCCATTATCACATCTGAAAAAAAAGACATATAGACATTACGTATTCTATATACCGAGATTTCCCTAGAACACAATTGAACCCAAAGTGTCCATTGTCGTCTCTCTGATTTAATTGTTTGGTTAAGTGTGATTACCATCGCCGGTGACTAAAATTATATCTACAACGAGCGCTCAGGGTCTGTCATAAACTGCTATGATTTATCATTAAAATTAAATGAAAATATATCTGAGGTTTTAAATAAGTCCAATAAAATTAAATGCGATTTTACTTATCAAAATTATTGCAATATTTTTCCGTACTTCTGATACATAAAATTCTCTTGCGACTGGTATTTGTAACAAAACTACTCCGAAATGACTCGTCCGATCCTTATGAAATTTTGTGTATATTCAACTGGTCTGAGAATAGAACGTAAATCATTTTTCATACCTTTCAGTGATAAGAGTGGTGATTAAATACATTTTTTGTAAATATATTCCTACATATTTATATTTATAATTTAAATAGATACACCCATTGAATATAAATGCATTGTGCAAAAATCAAATCCACGGCCACTATCACATCATTCTTAATATTGCATAACAATTTTAGTTTTTAATTACATGTTTTATAGCTATAAAATAGTTAAAAGTTTTTATAAAAATGCAACAATTAATTATACCACAAATTTGTCAATATTTTACATACAGAATTTTAATTTACTAAAAATAAAACTCAACTGCAAACATTCAATGAATAATAATAATTCGGTGTACAAATTCCACAGCATACCTGTCTCTTTCTCTCACTGCTCAACTGCTATATAAGTGAGCGGGACAGAACGCCCGAAGGAAGTGCTCCCTTATCGTTCATTCCAAGAATAACATTCCCATAGACTCAAAAGGCAGAAGTGTACGTCCGTTCGGAATGCAAAAAGTATGTTGAACATTTCGTTTGTATTTGTCATAAATTCAATTTTATGTTCGTTAATTTCTGCTTGCATAATTTCTTTTATTTATTTAGAATCTGAAAGTGTGCATATTAATGCCAGTTACCACATAATTTTGCCTAAAACAGAATAATATTTTCCATTTTTAAATTTTGTATACTCTTCATTATTTTTATACCAATGTAGTTAACCTTTTAAAAATGTAAAGGTATATTATATATATATTATATATATATAATTCAGTAACTTTACTGCCATATATCGGACTTCAAGTAATAATAATAGATTACAAAGCAAACTGCATGGCAGCAGAAATAGGTGTAACAGAGGTCTTTGTATTTGACACTCACAGATGTGAACGTAGATGTATGGAATGGGAGAGGACGCTCTAAAAAAAAGATGCAGGATTGTGTGAAAGATGACATGAGATTTGACGGCCGATAGAGATCAGTGGAAGAGAATGACATACTGCGCCGACCCCAAATAATTTGATAAAAGCAAGGCAATGATGAGACAATTCTGTACATAGTGTATCTCCAGTTAATTCGTGATCAGTGATGTTAAAATAAAGGGAGCACATGCATAATGTTAGCACGATATAACTATATATCCTATTTAATCAATCCTGTAATATCAACGAAGTCTACCTAAAATATAAACCATCACGATTCTCTGTTACAATATGATGCTATAATCTCTTGGGAAAATCTCGTTACGTCATCAAATTTGACAGATACTTCAAAAATTTCTGGCAACGTGGTTCGAAACTAACCATTGTATATAAGTATATATTAGGAGACGTTTAATTCACAGCTTTTGACAAGAGGGTGTTTGGCGTCAAACAAAAAGGATTTTATGTGACTACAAAGCGTGATTTCAATACCTTACAGGAATATTATGTAAGTGCGAAAACCATTTATTTACAGTTACAACAAGTTTATAGATATCTTAGGTGGGTATTACATTATCAAATATACAAGTACAAGGATTATGTAGTCACTTTATAGAGCTACTAGTGTCCAGGATAAATATAGCTTAAGTTCTCTATTTAAATCCACTTTTTCAATTTTGAGTAAATTTAAAAATATGTTTACCAATTTCGTATTTGTTAAAAAGAGCGCAAATGTCTTGTCATACCCAATATTATAACACGTAAATATTAGTACGTAATATTATGTTATCTATAGTATTAAGTCGATGTAACAATATAAAAATTAAGAGCATTGTTTATTTTAAGTCATATAATATCTTGGCAATATTGTAACACCTAAGTATTTGTATGTAATATTATGTTATGTGGTATTAGGATATCGATGAACAAATTATAAATAAAAGCATTATTTTTAAGTCGGATAATTTATTACCTTTAATGATTATAACTTATGACGTGTAAAATAAAGAATAACATTATTATTAGTACTAATATTGTCATTTCATTGTCTATTTGAATTTCTTTTTACATTAAATGTTTTTTTTAATAGAATTACTCTCGTAATCTATCTAGATTAGAAATAGAAAAAAATGTATGGACCTGAAGACTATCTAGTCTCCAGGTCCATACATTTTTTTTTAATCTTTTTAAATGCCATGTCTCCGGTTCTATAGCCGATTCACTCTAGGGTGGGAGACTGTACATGACGTCACGTGCGCACGAGCATCCGAGCGAACTCGTTAATCTAATTAAAACATTCCCCGATATCGATTATCGAAAGGATCGGTGCCACAGTGTTGCAATCCATGCAGTTGTTCCACACGCTTGCACGTAGCAACAAAAGGGAGTTAAGAGGAAGTGGACGCCATTAACCTTGTGCCACAGATACAAAATTTGACGCGATATCGAAGAGAATTTTCTTTTTCAG